GAAACTTGACCACATCCATGAAAAGTGAACATTCAGCAAACTAAAATCATGCCAGATGATGGATGTTTCCGGACCAGAGAGTTCTGGACTAGAGAGGTTCAGCCTGTAGTTAAGTTTTGGAATAGGCATCTAAGAGAGGCTGTGAAACCCCATCGAGGCAAGTGTATAAGAATAGGTTAGGGGAGGGAGGATCTGGGTTTAGTTGATCCTTCCTTAGTGCAGGAGGCTGGACTCGATAACTACTCAAGGTTCCTTTCAATCCTCCATTTCAATGATTCTATGGTTTTATGACCAAGGGGGAAAACCTGCAGCTTGATTTGAATGTTAAACACCTACACCAACCTACAAAAATCTCTGCCAAGGGTTGCTCTGTAGCCAAAGAGGGGAAAAAAGGCCTTGGGCTAAAATTGAGCAACAAATGAGAAACACTTGCCAAGTATTGAAACCCATTTAACTACAGATAAGAGATTCTAGCCAAGACACTCAGATGCTGCTGAAATGTTAGCGCTCTCTTCTCCATAACAAAACAATCCTACATGCTCCGAACATATGCTCCCGCGTATTGCTCTGCGTAAGTCTGAGGGTGTGAAGAGCAGACTTGGGTTTGGTTTGCTATGCAGGTTTCTCACACACCCAACATAGCTGGTGCCCTGATCCTCTGCTGTTTCAGACCTAGGGTCTGGTACAGGTCTGCCAATGCACTGCAGTCCGAGCTGGGACTCTGATATCCAAGGAGACTATTAATTTACGCACACAGACCTGTTACTGTAACCTTTTCTACACACCCATGGGTCTCTTTATCCACCTGTTGTGTCTTGTCACAATCCAGGAGAATGAACTCTCTGGAGCAGCGGCTGCCTCTCTTTCACTTCTCGGCACGGTACCTTGCCCAATGGGGCTCTGATTTCTGACTGACTCTCCCAGTTGCTGCAGCAAGATATATAATAGCAGAAGCCTCTCTTTCTCCCAGCGCTAGTCCTTGAGCCAGGACCACCAACCAAACCAGGCTGTGTGGTGTGTTTGGTTAAGAGGAAAAATGGAAACCAGGTGAAATCACACTCATTTTTCACTTGGGGCCTGAGCTGTGACTCCAGAGGGGAAGAGCTAGGGTGTGACTACATTGTACTGCTTCACTGGTCCCAGCCACGTGTGTGTAAAGACAAAATGCCACGGCCATTAGTATTTACAGATTAAATGATGCTACAGATGGGGTTTATTTGCCACCCACACAGACACATATGCTGGTGAACCTGAGCCTGTCATGGAAAGTAAGGGAGAACACCCTGCCTCCAAGATGTTCTTTTTGTTATTACTCTGTTTCCTTTTAAGACTCCGGTTGTTGCCTAACCATATTTCTTTATCTTGACCACTGTTCCCTATAACGTGTGCACTTGGGCAGCCACCTAGGAGAGATGCAAATGCTGATTAGCAGAGTGCCCACAGCCAGCAGCATGTGTTTCTACTGATGGTGCACATTCACATATGCCTTGGTGCACATAACAAAATTCATTATGCACATGGATGGAAACATTTAAAGGGAACATTGGTCCTGACTGCCACTATAAGTTCAGGATAGCGCCTCAGCTCTCACTGATATATCAGTCCTGCCAATGTAAGGCAACAGATGGATTGATAAAGCACTGTTGCTGCCTAACTGGAAAGTGTGCCCCCTTTTCCCTTGAAAATGATGCCATTTCTTTAAAACTTAATTTATAAACAGGCTGGATCCATCCCCAAGATGGGAAGTTCTTCTGGATAGGGACTGAATATTTGCTACATGTTTGTACAGTGCCTTGCACCAGAAGATTGGCACTACAACCTTATCCAAATGATAATTGGGAGAAAGACAAGTTGGGGAGATGAGGCACATAGAAGCAAGGACCTCTGGAACATACAGACTGTATAGCAAAGATCTCAAACTCTGTGTCTTTGTTCAGTGTTTCTTTCACAGAAATCCCCTTTATTTGGCATGAGGTAAAATAAAGCAGTAATTACAACAACAAACCGACATGCGTGCATTTGCTTCAAGACCGCTGATTGAGCAATCATGATGCTGAAAAATGATGCATGTCTTATGTGAAGATGTTGGATAAAAGGATCTGCTCATTACACAATGAGGTTTCACTAGCAATCAGCAAATCAGTTAAATAGTTCGTTCCACTCCCAGGTCCTGGTACTATGGTGATTAATGAATTAACATTTGGGCCATGCATTAAGTGGTGCTCAGACTTGTCAAGGTCCTAGGAGCAATCCACTTTTCCTCTTATGTTCAGAAAATCCAGGGCCTGATCCTACTGGCAAATTTCCCCTAGAGGTCAACCCTGAAAGAAGATAACAAGAACTAGCCCTGACCCTTGGAGAGCAGAGAATTAGTCAAACCCTAGGCAAGTGTCTTTCTCCCAAGGAAATCTCTTATCTGCAGAGGAGGCTCAGACAGCTGTGGTGCTGCCTGGGTGACCATCAAAGCTGGGCAAAGACTTTCCTCTGGGACTGAAACATCGCTGGATGAGGGCACCGTGTGCTATTCAACCACCAGCTTCTACAACACAGCTATTCCCCGCCCATCCTCTCCTAAACTAACAGCCCCTCCTGCAAATCACGGATCACATTCCGCTGACGCTTACAGACACACAACTCTTTGGATTAGTGGCTGACAGCTGAACTTGCCACATCAACTGCATCCCTCCACTGACTAGAGCAGGAGTGGCCAACCCATTTAACAAAGAGAGCCAAAACAGCGGTGGAAAAAATGCAGAGAGCTGCACCAGAATTGTCAAAAAAGCCCCCAGAACAAAGCAAACACAAAATAATGAAAAAAAAAATTTTTTTTTTTTAAAAAAACCAGGACACTGCCCCTTTAAAATGTCTGTCATCTTGGGTGCCATTTTTAAAACCCTGCAGCTCCAACCCGGTAAGCACAGGAAAGCCGGAGGAAGGGGGGGAAGCCAGCAGGGGGAGGGGGCTGTTTGGGGGGG